ATAGTATAACATGGCTAAATTAATAAGAATCTTGAATAATTGCATTGTATCCAGGTCGGCCAACTAGTTTAATCGGATTTGTGGCATTGCTCGACGGACACCCTGTAATGATGAGTCTTAGTGCCATCATCGTCGGCAAACAATCGGCACGAATATTTAACCTAGGTGACAAAACCCAAATTAAACAATCTTGGTAAAAATCTACCTATAGTACTAATATGTGCAACAATATATGTGTACCACTTACTTTATCCTGATTCAAAAACTGGAGGTAAGGCAAGCAATGGATGTCAGTGCCCAACATGTCTATGACCATCAGAAAGGTCATGACCNCCAAATTAAACAATCTTGGTAAAAATCTACCTATAGTACTAATATGTGCAACAATATATGTGTACCACTTACTTTATCCTGATTCAAAAACTGGAGGTAAGGCAAGCAATGGATGTCAGTGCCCAACATGTCTATGACCATCAGAAAGGTCATGACCTGCCCCTTGTCCTTCTCAAACTTATTGACCGCATCCGTCATATTTCTGATCCATTCTTTGCCCCACTCCTGGCCCTCATCTATCATACAGGGGTCCGCCGCGAGGGTCAGTCCGATCAGCACCGATACTAAGGCCACTATTTTCAGCATATTTTCACCGTTTGTTTTACGCACGAAAACCTATAAATGAAAAGTGAAATAACTTTTTGAAAGTTTCTGAAATCTAACCCTAGTTTATATAGGATTTGTAAAATGTGTACGCTTATTATTGTATCGAAATCACCTTTTATCTTATCATTCAAGCGATAAAGTTAGTACATTTTTTACAAGTTAGTGTATTTTTACTGGAAATGGATTATTATCTTTTTGGTTTAAGATAATGATCCAGGATACAATTTAGAGGTAATTCTACATAATTCGTCAATTAAAGTATGTTTTAATTTAAATATACCGTACCATAGTATTGCATGTTTCATAGTAAGCCTTGAGCAGTTGCATTTAATTCGTAGAAATATACAACAGTTTTATCATTTATAATCTATAATCAGTTATAACACCATGATTATTTTATTAAATATAACCGTCTATGGATAAATGTGAATTGGATTAAATTATTTTATATCATACCAAGTACTTTAAATTCAGTATAACAGCAAAAAACCTATCATGCTGTATTACAATCTTAATATTAACATTATAATTTATTTATACAGAATTTGAAGAATTATGAGACAATTTTGATATATTTTTATTAAATTTCTATCTTGCTAAATGAAAATCTTAAAATATATTTATACAGTATGATAATACAATTTGAATAATACAATTATTCTTTTAATATTTCCATAAAGTATAATTAGTATAATTATAGCTACTGATTGCTATTCTGAACTAGTTAATATGGATCACATGTAAGTATACCAGTTTTATAAATATTGATAATTTTAATTTGTATGTCAGAGAGAGAGAGAGAGAGAGAGAGATCTATAAAAATAAAATTATATATTGAATTATTGGGTTTTTTAAAAAGTTTTGCGAGGTGCGATTTATTCGGCAACTGCTTGAGATATTGAAAATATTTTTAAACCTCAACTATGGCTTTTACTCATATGTATTCTCCCGAAGAGACTACTGGATTAGAGCACCGGTAGCTTTGCACAGGTAGCTTTAATATGCAGCAAAAACTATAAGTCATAGAAAGAGCATAAAAAATAATCAAACCCGTCTATCTGGATTTCTCTAGTAAATGGATTAAAAAGAGACAGGGTGGCCCTGTAGGTCATGATTTTACAAAAATTATTTTTAAGCCAAGATCTGATGAGGCCATCGATAACTACTCAAAAAATTAAGAACATTTGAATTTGAATTTTTTTTAAATCTCTATAAATTCGTTAGCTAGATAACTTAAAAATTTGTAAGAATTTTGGTGAATCTGTAAAACAATGATTTTGCTTTGCCCTAGATTAGTTATGTCTCAATGTTAAACTTATCTCCTTTTGAAGCACATCATGATGGTCTAATCGGATTTAATCTTATTTTTAGGTATCTATCTTATTCAATATTCTTACATTCCTTGCCTCCCTGTTCTACATGGATGCATTTACCAGTGAAATCCCGATAGACTGGCTTGATCATTTTTTATGCTCTTTCTAATAATGTGTTGATTGCCTTTCTAAGACCTATAGTTTTTGCTGTACATAAAAGCTACCTGTGCCGAGCTACTGGTACTCTAGTCCAGTAGTCTCTTCGGGAGTAGACATGAGAACAAAAACCATAGTTGAGGTTCAAAAATATTTTTGATACCTATATTGGTTATGAAAATATTGATTTTTAAGCTCCAAAATTTACCTCGCAAAACATTTTGGAAACCCCTATATTTTAATATTTTCATTGACTGAAATTAATTGAGAAAAGTAATTGAGATTTCTTTTTATAGTACTGTATTAGTAAATCATTGCATAAGCAATTCTTATGAATAAATGTATAGATTATTTATTAATCCTTTTGTATACGTATTAAATTGATATAAATTAATTTTATCAAAATGATAAACCATTGTCTTATGATATATGATATAAATTATAATGTTAAAGATATAGTCTTGCTTTTTTTAATATAAACTTATAGCTTGTTTACAAGTCTAATAAATGAACATTAACTCATATGATTTACTAATTTTAATATTTAGATTACTTTGATTATCATAGGTTAGCTAACCACTAATAAATATTGAATTTATTTGATTAATACCTCTTAATTAAACATTTGCTTCATTTAGACTTCTTACGTAACAGTATCATCAGTATCAGTTTTGTATGTTTTGTAGTTTAATAAGAATACAAATTAAATATTATGACATTTTATTATGCATATACAAAGTTTGCTTTTTACAACAGTAACATTATACAACAATTATATCCAGTTCACAACTAAAACATAATTGATAAGTTCATCGGCTTAATCGGACTTGTGGCATTTGACCTCGCCCATGACATATTTGTGGGTGTGGGTGCCATCATCGGTGGTTTGGATTGTGCACGACCATTTCACCTATTAAATAAATTAAACATGGTTAATAACTTAAGCAAACCTAACGAATAAATAAAACATACATGATCCTGGTTATAAAACTGCAAGTAAGCGAGACAGTGGTCCATATCACCCATGGTGTTGATGATCTGGATATAGGTCATGACCTGACTCCTGGCCTTCTCCTCTTTATTGACCGCTTCGGTCATCTGCTGGACCATTGTCTTAGCCCAGGCCTCGCCCTCATTGATAATACAGGGGTCGACCGCCGCGAGGGTCACTCCCATCAGCATCGACACCAGGATCACAATTTTCAGCATATTTTTTGAGGTTTGGTTTTTACACACAAAACACTGTTTTATTGAATGAAAATAACTGATTGAATGTATTGAGAGACAAGCGATTATTTATATAGAGAAATATGTTTGAAATCTTTGACTTTGATTCACGTAATTGTAGAGTAATCTGAAGTGTTTTCACTGGAAATGGATTAAAGTGTTTGAGATTTTTTCTTATTTATTTTTAATAGGATAATAGCCTACTTGTTAGATAACTATTATCTATCACATAATACCTAGGACATAATAGAAAGCCGTGTTCTAAGAATTTGCAAACTTTATATTTTCAATCAGTATCATATACACTCGTTATGAAAGTAGGACCTTGAATTTTAATTGGTTTACTAGTATACTGAATCTTAAAATGATAATTATTAATTAATTTTTAAGTGTTTTTAATCAACTCTAAAATGATATTGCTATTGTATTAAAGTATTACCTTTTAATACTGTAATCAATTCTAAGAATTAATTTTATTTTCAGAATTTATAAAGTACAATAGTTTGTAAGTAAAGTACTATATACCCGGATATTAAATTTTACATTATTTGCAAATGGTTCAATAATCTATATTATTGATACTTGTGTATTAATGTACTAGGATGAGCATTGTTCACAATTGTTTTACATGGTATACCCGGATATTATAACATGTTTACAACATTTTTTAGAATTAACTTTTTTCAATTGAAATACCTGTAGTTTTAAACTGTACTTGATACTGTGAATTAATCGATAAGATAATGTAGTAAAGAATTTTTATTAATAAAATAATTCATATCCAATGTGGGAATGTGAGTAAATAACTTAATTAATATTAATTGTAAAAATTTGTTTATTTATTCTGTTTATTATTCTTAAAATGCAAACTATTGTCTATACTCCAGAATATTCCTACATTAAGCTAACAAAAAGCAATTACTCACACTTTTGTTTTACATTTATATTGCGATAAAATATTTTTATAGTTTTTATTGCTTTTTTATTCAAATTTTGAAAAAACTGTTTGTTTTATAAAAATATATATAATATATATTGTGTATATGATATATAATATCTATAACATTTTATAGATAGTATTGCCATAAGAAGTTATCATTAAATGTAGTTTTCATAAATAAAAACGCATTCATTGTTTTAACGGCAAAGCAAATTGTATTAATATTTTCAATACAATGCAAACATTAAACTCTAAAAAAATTTTTATACTTTAAAATTTTAAACTTTCATTTCTGACACAGAATTTATTCCGTATATTATAGCCCTAATAAACAATGTCTATGTTTTTAGCGCACATAAAATTATACTTATACACATATACCCTGCACACAATTTATTATAGTCGGTGTCAGTGTATAATAAAAATATTTGAAAAAATTTATACCATTAAGTGCTTGTGATTTAAGTATATTTTTGCGATTTTTATTTTTGGCAATCAGTTTGTTAACAAGATTAATTTTATTTATGTACAACCTTATAGTGGGTATGGGTATTAATAGGGTTTGATTTTATAATAATTTTATATTATTTATGCATAAATAGAAATTATAAATATTATATAAGCAATGAACAAAATCTTGTCCAATAAAAGTGTCAATAAAATCCATTGCTTGTGATTATCACCACAAGACTGGTCTTTGTATGCGATCTCAACACTACTTTCTATGCCTTCTCTGACACTTAATTCTCGCAAATAATCGCCGACTCCTATGACACCAATGAATGGGTTGTTGAGTACCACTGATACCATTGGATGTAATGGTGATGTCATCGCAAATAATCTGTTCATCACTACTGAACACATTGTCATCATTG